ATCATTTATGTTCATAACCTCAAGAGGAAAGGCTATTGGTGATATTTTTTGAATGTATATTTTTTTTTCCATTTTGTTTGTTAGATTTGCTTACAAAATTGAGTGAAGTAAGAAATAATATTAATAAAGAAATGTCACTTTCTCCCATATTTAAACTTTGAATGTATTTTTAAATGTTTTAATGATATCTTGTCATTTTGATCTCAAAATACAAGTAACTCTGTGACAATATGTATTAATAATTTAAAAACACTTGTCCTATGTTTGTTCAATTACAATTATTTACTAAAAATCTTTAATTTAGTAATATTAATGCTATTTTACAACATCATATACTATATATACGATACACACGTGCAACACACGTGCCGTAAAACTAGTATAAATAAAATATATGAATTAACATGTGAATTAAACTGAATATATGTTGTTTAAAAATATTATATTAGTTATAAACAATTATGAATTCCATTATGCGCGTATACACACAAAAATATATATTTTTTTGACAGTTTTTTTTTTTTAAGATATACATATGTTTATTTAAAAAAAAGTGTAAATACAATATCATTTAACATAAATTAAATGAAATCCAGTAGCTTTAAAAGTCTAAAATTGTTAAGTAATGAAAGAAAAGATATATAACTAATATGTTAATAGTAGTAAAATGGATTAAAAAACTAAGACACAATTTTATTCGCATTTGAATGCTAAAAAAGATTTTGATATTAACAAAATTTTATATTTTAAGTTGTAATAAGATATTTGAATACCGTGTGAAGGCGGGTATATTAACTACTCCTTTTGTCCCAATTTATATGATTCACATTCCTTTTTAGTTAGTTTAAGAAAGAATGACACATTTCTATATTTAGTAACAATTTAAATTTAAAATATTCATTTTACCCTTAATAACATCATTTATAGCCACACAAATATCTATGACTAATTTTAGACCATAAAATTAAAAAAGAATTCTTTTTTTTCTTAAACTTTGTGCAAAGTCCAACTAAGTCATACAAATTGGGACGGAAAGAGT